TCCCTCCTCCTCCTCCTCCTCCTCATCCTCCTCCTCCCTCCTCCTCCTCCTCCTCCTCCTCCTCCTCCTCCTCCTCCTCCTCCTCCTCCTCCTCCTCCTCCTCCTCCTCCCTCCTCCTCCCTCCTCCTCCTCCTCCTCCTCCTTCTCGTCCTCCTCCTCCTCCACCCCCTCCTCCTCCTGCTCCTCCTCCCAGTGCTCGGCCCCAGAGGGCCCCCGCTGGGCCCCCGCAGGGGCCGCCACAAAAGTAAGCAGCCCGGTACGCCGAGCCCGCTCCTGGGAGAGGGCCGGGACTCGGGAGCCTCGAGACGGGGGTCAATGCAAACGGCCTCTGCAGGCTCGTTGTCCATTTTACCGGGATTCTTAAAGATGGCATAAGGACCTATAAAAACCATCATGAATAACTTGTTCCTTTAAAGAATCTACTCATCGACCCACCTCTGCGACCTGGAACCGTCGATGTCCTGCGTCTCGAGCGATAACTGGGGTTCCGAGTTGGACCACTGCAGTGGGGGTCAGCCAGAGCGCTGGATCTTGCAGGATCCTGCAGGGACAGGGTCGCATTGACCCCGGGTTGGGGCGCAGGATCTCGCAGGATCTGCACGATTCTGCAAAAGGCCTGACTGACCCGGGCCTGGGTCGACCCAAGTCAGAAGATCCCCGAGGGACTTCGGGAGCCGCGCTTGGAACGAGAACCATCGCCCAAAAAACAGACGACACCACCCCACCTCCAGGACCCTCCACGTTGCGTTCCGGCCCATCGGGCGCCGCAGCGCATGCCACGCAGAAGCCACGCCAGACTCCCGGGCATACGGTACGGCCCTGTGGGGCCCGGAGGTGGGGTGGTGTCGCTGGTTTTCTGGATGGCTCGTGTTGTCAGTTCTGGGGGAACAGACGCTCTGGACCCTCTGGTGGAAAAGCCCCAGGGCCTACAGTCGGGGCCCTGAAGAAGGAACCCTTTTCGTTGGGGAGGGGCTCCGCGTTCCTGAAGTGTTTCGCAGCCTGCCTCAGCTTTTCCTCAGGTTTTCGAAACGCGCCTCGTTCCTTATTTGGGGTTCCTTAGGTCAACGCCCCGACTGTAGGGCCCGTCTTCCCCGGGACACCCTCCTCCTCACGCCGAGCCGTGGGCGCCCCGGCACTCCTCGGTTCCCCGACGTGGGCCCGCTCCGGAGCTCCTTTCCTGAAGCAGGAGACAGCACTTCGCCGGCCCTGGAAACGACAGGGCCGCTTTTGTCACCGGCTCCGTTTTGCTGCTTTTGGTGCCGGTTCCGACGCTTTGTGTTACCGGTTCTTTCGTTGCTGTTCTTGGTTCTGGCTCCGCTTCCAATCCCAGGGCAATGTTTGTTGCCGTTTCCGGTCGCCATGTTTTGTCCGTGTCCATTTCAAGTGATTTTTTCGGAAACGCTGAAAAAACGGCCTTGCCGTTTCCAGGGCCCACTAAGGCGCAGTACAGTTCTGGTGGGCCAGCTCCAACGAGGGTGGGTATTGCGAAGGCCTTACGGCCGGTGCCGCCGACGACCCTGAAGGGGGACGACGACGACGACGACGACGACGACGACGACGACGACGACGACGACGACGACGACAACGACGACGACGACGACGACGACGACGACGACGACGACGACGACGACGACGACGACGACGACGACGACGACGACGACGACGGCGCGGCGGCGGCGGCGGCGGCGGCGGCGGCGGCGGCGGCGGCGCGGCTGCTGCGGCGGCCGCGGCCGCGGCCGCGGCGGCGGCGAAGACGCTGACATGGGCCAGAGTCCTCAAGGATGCTTCTTGGGGTCTCTTCGGAGCGCTCTCGGGGGCCTCTCGGGGGCAGTTCTTGAGCCTCTCCGGAGCCACTCGGCGGCCTCTCGATCGGGAGCATCTTGGGGGCCTCTATAGGGGCTTCCCGGTGGCCTCGCTCGAGTCCCTGCACGCCCCGTTCGGATTCGTCGGAGCGACCCTCCAGGTGCCCTGGGCACACTGCTCCGACTGGTCGAGTAGGTGATCGGCTGCATATTGAGTTGCCCCGGATTTCAGGTGCTCGCCGAATCTACCATACATGCGTTGAACGTCTGTAGAGTTACGAACAGTATACCCATCGGTAGTTGAAAGTAGGTTTTTGGGGGATTCCCAGAACCCAATCTACATCAAGCGCCTTCCTACTTCAAGAACTTATATGCTTTTGCTGTGTTTTGTTGCTCTCTGTGCGGGCCCGGACCCAATCTATTATATCCGCCTTCCTGTTTCATGTTTCTACCGACTTCTTCCGACCGATGGGCAGTCTTGCATTTGATTGTGGATCCGACGAGGAAATCATCTTCGGGGGGGCGAATCGATCCTGCAGTCGATCCCCGACTCGACCTGGGGGGGGGAGGGTGGAGGGGGGGCGGAGACCGCACCGCGCGGGCGGCTTCGGCCCCCGCCGCGCGGCACGCCCTGCATGCACACGGGGAGGCTCGGGCGGGGGGGGGGGAGAGCGAGGTCGACGTCGAGCAGTCGGCACACAGGCGGCCCGGGATGAGTAGGTCTGATGGGCCTCTTTTCCACCACCACCACCATAAGTTGGAGGGGGAAGGAGGAGGAGGATCAGGAGGAGGACGACGAAGAGGAGGAGGAGGACCCCCTCCCCCTCCAACTTATGGTGGTGGTGGTGGAAAACAAACCCATCATAGGTCGACCTTGCCGGATCAAGGGTGCCCGCGTGTCCAGTGTCTTGCGAGCCATGCCTCCTGCATATTTTCGTGGCAGCGTGGCCCCCGGCAGGGTCTCGTGTCCTCTCGCGTGTCCTCGCCAATGGAGTCCGACTGTGCGAACGTGATCGTTTTCTGATTCGCTGCTTTGCCGATCGGCGCGGGCCCTCGCCCCCCCCCCCCCCACACACATATGGAATAGATCTTGGCTGGCTGCTGGCGCTGGCGCCTGTTTCGAGCAGGTGGAGTCTCCCCCATAGGGCGCAGAGTTGCAGACAGTCGCATTAAGCAGAGGTCGGGAGCCAGACCCCCCCCTCCTCCTCCCTCCTTCCGCCCAATGTCGAAACGCCGAATAAAAAAACGCCCACCAACGAAAACTCGAGTAGGGGATCGACTACAGTCGAATTACCCCGAAATTGGTTTCCCGTCGAATCTACGAACCATTTCGAATCTACGAACCATTCATCGAATGCTCCGTAGATCTATGGACTGCTCTACGTGTTTTTCTCATGGACTCGACGAGAAGATCAATCTTGGGGCAACTCCATTCCGCAGTCAATCCCCTACTCGAAAAACGAAAGACCAGGAACCGCCAGGGGGTCTGAGGTGGCCCAGCACTGGCTCCGGCCAGCAGGAGGGGCGGGCCGGTCCGAGGCATTTGGTTCGGGATTGTGTTTTTGTTTTTTTCTTCCGAGGGGGGGGGGGAAAGGCAGGCCAAGCGTTTTCGGGCCCTGAGGCCGTTGGAAAGGACCGCGATGCAAGAAACGGCTCCGGATAGACCTCAGGCGGGGTCCGGGGACTGCTTTGAGCGGACTTGGACTCATCCCCGCTCCTGGCCGATGCTCTGGAGTCCAACCCAGTTCAGACCCCCAGCTGTCTCCAAAGCTGGCTCTCTGTGGGGAAGGGGAGGTCGACGTCGAACCATCGGCATACAGTGGAGGCCCTTGCCGAGAAACACCCTGCTCGCCTCCAGGGTGCCCTGGGTTTCTTGGGTTTCGAGGGTTTTGCTATGGACCAAGAAGCGATGGACGTCCTGTGGTCTCAGGGTTGGGTTTCGTGTGGAAGGTTTCTTGTGGTCGGCCCCTACTGCACACACACACACACACACACACACAACAGCGAAAGCGAGGCCCTCCCGCGGACCCCCCAAGAGCCCGCCCTCCAGAGCGGCTCGCGCGCCCGTCCTGGCGCAGAGGGCCCCCGCGACGGTCTGGAGGACGTCACCATCTCCTCGATCCTGCAGGACCGCGCGGGGCGGTCCGACCACGCGCCTGTCTTGGCTCGAGAAGGAAACAGATGCATCAGATGATCGTTGTGGGGACCTTACTGGGGCCTTCCTGACGGATCTGTTCGGCTCAAGTTCGACTCAAGTTCGACTCAGGTTCGACTCGAATTGGCCGAGGTTTGACGCAGCTACGACGCACGAGTGGAGCGAGTGTCTCCAGGAAGGTCCCCAGAATGAGCATCCAGGATGCATAGATTCGGATGCGCAACTCCTGGGAGGTCAGATTCTGTCGTTGCCCTGGTCCGACATCAGGCTCAATCTGGCTTGGTCCCAGCTGAATCCGGCTTCATCCCGCTGCATCCCGCCGAATCCGCGGCCGAGTCCAGCGCAGCAGCCCCCCAGTGGAGCTTGTTTCTCCGTAGTCCTTCCGACGATGGCCTCCCAGCAGCTGCCTCCGGACACAGGCACCATTCACTCTCGGAGCTCCGTGCGGACTCCTTGGATCTGTGCTGGCCCCCGTCTGGCGGCGCTTACGGCGCCGCCCTTGGTGCGCTTTCGCTCCCCCGGGGAGGGGGGGTCCAGCGCCGGTCAGGGAAATCTGCACGGAGCTCCGAAAGGTTCTGTTTACCCATCGATCGCTGAAGGTAGGCATTTCTTTGGATAGCCATATTCCAATCTACTTTGAGCGCCTCCCTACCTCAATGATCGAGTGGCTTTACTTTCTCCGTCCTCTTTAGGGGACGGGCGGACACCCAATCTATGTTCCGACCAATTTGTCTGTAGCTGTTACCAACCATCCTGTGGTGTTGGGTCGTCGTTTTGGAGAGACAGCGCCCCGCGTTCCTTCCTTTCTCCTCCTCCCCCTCTTCCCTCCTCCCAACCTGCATCGTCTCTGTTTCGGCACACCCCTCGCACGCTTCGTGGGCCCATAGGGAGCTCCACCGAAGGTCTCAGCGGTGCAGTTCGCATGTGGGCGTCACGCCCGTTTCGGCACACCCATCACACGCTTCGTGGCCGCATAGGGAGCTCCACCGAAGGTCCCAGTAGCGCAGTTCGCATGTGGGCGTCACGCCCGTTTCGGCACACCCATCACGTTTCGTGGGCCCGCAGGGATTCCACCGAAGGTCCCAGTTGTGCGGTCCGAATGTGGGGCGTCACGCCCGTTTCGGCACACCCCTCTCACGCATCGTGGGCACATTGGGAGCTGCACCGAAGGTCTCAGCTGTGCCGTTCGCATGTGGGCGTCACGCCCGTTTCGGTATACCCCTCGCACGTTCGTGGCCCCGTAGAGAGCTCCACCGAAAGTCCCAGCGAAGCACTTTGCATGTGGGCGTCACGCCCGTTTCGGCACCCCTCGTACGCATCGTGGCCCCACATGGAGCTCCACCGAAGGTCCCAGTGGTGCAGTTTGCATGTGGGCGTCACGCCCGTTTCGGTACACCCCTCACACGTTTCGTGGCCCCATAGGAAGCTCCACCGAAGGTCCCAGTGGTGCAGTTCGCATGGGGGCGTCACGCCCGTTTCGGCACACCCCTCTCACGTTTCGTGGCCCCGTAGGGAGCTCCACCGAAGGTCCCAGTGGTACATTTCGCATGGCGTCATGCCCGTTCCGGCACACACCCCTCACATATGGTGGCCCCATATGGAGCTGCATGGAAGGTCTCAGCGGTGCAGCCTGCATGTGGGCATCACGCCCGTTTCGGCACACCCCCCTCACGTTTCGCGGCCCCGTAGGGAGCTCCACCGGAGGCCCCAGTGAAGCAGTTTGCATGTGGGCGTTACGCCCGTTTCGGCACACCCCTCGCACGTTTCGTGGCCCCATAGGCAGCTCCACCAAAGTTCCCAGAGGTACAGTTCGCATGTGGGCGTCACGCTAGTTTCGGCACACCCCTCGCACGTTCCGTGGCACCATAGGGAGCTCCACCGAAGGTCGCAGTGCTGCAGTCCGCATCTGGGCGTCGGGCCCGTTGTGGCACACCCCTCGCACGTTTCGTGGCCCCGTAGGGAGCCCCACCGAAGATCCCAGTGGCGCGCTTCGTATGTGGGCGTCACGCTAGTTTCGGCGCACCCCTCGCACGTCTCGTGGCGCCACTGGAAGCCTCACCGAAGGTTCCAGTGGCACGTTTTGTGGCGCCACAGGGAGTTCCACCGACGACGATCATTTAAACCGCGGCACTCACCAACTGCATATGGTTGGGTCCTTCGCAACGCTGATTGTTTTTGTTTCGGGCCAGGGGGGTGCGGAGCGCGCCAGAGGCGCCGCCAGGGGTGGCCCAGTGCCGATCCAGGAAAGCCGCGCGGTCCTGGTTGTGTCGTTTTTGTTTCATCGGGCCAGGGCTGGCGCGCTGGGGGGCGCCGTCGGGAGGACTTGTCGCCAGCCCGAAAAGTCTGCTCGGAGCTCCGAGCGTTTGTGTTTGTGCCGCCGGTTGGTCTTTCTTTGGCCTTGACGTTCTGGGTGTTCGTGGTGCCTGGGCGAGGTCAGTCACGCTCCACGACGGTCGGGGACGAGGGTCTCGAGACCGCGGCGCTGATGTCCCCGCGCTGTCTTGGACGGTGCCGTCGCTTTCGGTTCACACTCTGCCAGTCGAGGGGTCCAGGCGTAGCGGACGCGCGTATAACCGTCCATCCTCCTTGTTTCAATGTGTAGGCCTGTCTCCGCGTTGACCAAGGGCGTCCGAACAGAAAGGACAGACGCCCCCCAAGCTGGGCCATCTGCGGATCGAGAGGCGGCCCAGACTAGAGGCCGGTTCGGCTGTGGGGTTTTGTCATGCTGTTCTGTCCGCGATTGGATTGCGCGCTCAGCTCGCGACATCGGTCCCTTCGGCTGCAGTCGGGGCGCAGAAGAAGCAACTCTTTTCGTTGGGCAGGGGCTCGGTTTTCCTTCATTGTTTCACAGTTTGCCCAAGGTTTTCCTTAGGTTTTCGATGGTAGGCCGAAGTTTAACTTTTGGACAAAAGGGGCCTCGTGGGTTCCTTGGGTCAACGCCCCGACTCTACGCTCGAACAGTGACACATTGCCGAGCTTTCGGAGCTCCGCGCGGATTCCTTGGATCCGGGCTGTAGCCCCCCTGGCGGCGCCTCGGGCGTCGCCCCTGGTGCGCATAGCGCGCCAGGAAGTGGGGTCCAGCGCCGCTCCGAGAAGTCCGCGCGGACCTCCAATGTTGCTTCTGCTCATGTACGCGCACCCGCACGGGCGACGTCCGTCTTCGCCCGATCGGGGTCAGACACGATCGATCTGACTGCGATTTTGACTCGGTCGGCCAGCGATGGCGAACAGCTTTGGGGACTCCTAATTGAGGACGTGACGAGCGTGAACGACCGGCTCGTCGATCTGTTCATCTCCCCTGCGGAGCAGGACGAGGCGTCCAGACAGGGACCCAGACCTTCGGGCGTCTTGAGGGAGGTGACGAGCGTCAACGACCGGCTCATCGACATGTTCCTATCCTCGGGGGGTGCCTACCATGCTGCAGCGGCAGCCGCGGCGCCCAGAGGCGGCGCAGGTCGAGGAGGAACAGACGGCACATGCATAGATTTTCGGAGCTCGGCGCGGATTTCGACAGGGGCGGCGCCGGAGGCGCAGCCAGGTGGGCCAGGCCCCCTAGTGTTAAGTCGGGCCTCTCCCTCTTCAGGAGGAACATATTCCAAAATAGTCCAAAAAAAAGTTGGGGACCTTTTTGGGGATCAAGTTTTAATATTTTTGAGCATGGGGGGTAATTTGTTCCTTCCAAGATCCGCCTACAGGGGGGCGTGCCCGACCTAACCCTAGTGGATTTCTCGGATCTGTGAGCGCCTCTGGCGCCTCCCCTGGCGCCGATCCAAGAAGTTCGCGCGGAGCTTCGAAAGTTGCTGTGCAGCCTGTTGTGCTCCTCTTGGCAGGGGTGCACAGCAGCTACCCGGTGCCGCGATCGCACTCGGGCGAGGCGCGGTCTCCCACACGGTCTCACGCCGAGGCGAGCAAGGACGCCGACGTCACAGCCAGTCAGGAGCGTTCGGCTTGCCCTCGACCCTCTTATCAGGAGGAGAAAAAACACACAGACACAATTAATCGTCGATTCCCCAGAAAGTATGGGAAAATTTGGGAAGTGGGGGGGAAGACAGAAACCCAGAAAATATGGGAAAATATGGTGAATCCTGTTATTTGTGTGTATTTATTTGTGTGTCGCAGGGCCCCTTCATCTTATGCCAGCCAGGCCAATCTGCCACTCTCCAGGCCGGGAGTCCGTTTGGCCTGCGGGCGCGAGATGTGCTGGCGGGCGGCAACGGGGGGGCCATCAGTGGAGGGAGATCGAAGAGGGCCCTGAGGGGGGCCATCCTCCTCCTCCTCCTCCTCCTCCTCCTCCTCCTCCTCCTCCTCCTCCTCCTCCTCGGCCCTGAGGGGGGCCAGACGGTCCCTACCTACACCTTGGGCGATGCTTTAGAAAACCTAAGTTTTCGGCCAGAGTCTCGATGATTCTTAACTTTTCCATACAAATCCCAAGATTTCAGTGGAAATGTAGGGTTTTTACTCCAGTTCTGAGACCATGAATTTCTTAACCCATGATTCCTCCTCCTCCTCCTCCTCCTCCTCCTCCTCCTCCTCCTCCTCCTCCTCGGCCCTGAGGGGGGCCAGACGGTCCCTGCCTACACCACGGCCCCCGCGGGCCCGAAACGGTACACAGAAGATGCACGTTTCTGCACCGTGCCAGCCCAGCATTCTGGGTGGTGATGGATCGAGGGTGCAGAGGTGGCCATCCACAACGACGCGTCGTCCCTCCAGGCTCGAGAGAGCCGTCATAAGGTTGATGAGGATTATGAGGGTCATGGGGGATGATGACAATGAACATGCTGATCGACGATGCTGATGTTGATGATGTTGACGATGACGATGACGATGACGATGGCGACGGCGATGGTGGTGATGATTAGGATGGCGATGACGATGAGGATGATGATGATGAGGAGGATGGGGATGAGGATGATGATGACGATGATGACGATGATGATGATGATGATGATGATGGTTGTGATGATGATGGTGGTTTCGATGGTGATGACGTGGATGATGATGATGCTGATGATGCTGCTGATGATGATAATGGTGATGATGGTGACAGTGATGATGATGATGATGATGATGATGGTGATGATGCTGATGATGATGCTGCTGATGACGATGATGATGATGATGATGGTGATGGTGATGGTGATGATGATGATTGTGGTGGTGATGATGGCATGGTAATGGTGGTAATTCTGACCTCGTGTTGAGGTTGTCGATGATGATGATGTTGGTGATGGTGATGGTGGTGATTATGATGTTGATGATGATAATGCATATTGTGACGATGATGGTGCCTGTGATGATGGTGATGCTGAGTATGACAGGTGGTGTTGATGGTGATGATGATGCTGAGTATGATGATACTGACATTGATAATGCTGATGATGAGGGTGGTGGTGGTGATGATGGTGATGATGGTGACGATAAAGGTAGTGACGATGACGAAGATGCTAACGATGAGGATACTGATCATGATGATGGTGTTGATCATGATGATGGTGAGGATGATATCACGATAGCGATGCCAATGTAGATGATGATCATTATGATGATGATGAGTATGATGATGATGATGCTGATGATGATGATGGTAGCATGGATGATGCTGATGCTGGTGATGATGATAAGGATGCTGATAATGCTGATGGTGATGCTGATGTTGTTGATGATGATGGTGATTGTGGTGGTGATGGTAATGGTATTGGTGATGGTGATGGTGATGATGGTGGTGGTGGTGATGCTGATGATGATGATGATGATGATGATGGTCATTAGGATGGTCGTGATGGTGGTGATGATTATTATTATGACGACGATGGTAATGATGATGATGCTGATGAAACTCGTTTGGGCCGTCTTGGGGCTGGCCTCCTGTGAGGGAGTCTTGTAGGTCCTTTGGGGTCCTCTTGGGCCGTCGTGGAATTGTCGCGGCGCCGTCTCGGGCCGTCCGATGGCCTTCTAAGGCTGTTTCTGGTCCCACAGGAGACCCGCTTGGGCCGTCTTGGGGCCGTCTTGGGGTCGTCTTGGATGCCTCATGGGTCATCGTGGAGTCCTCGTGGACCGTCTTGCGCTGACGGCAGCCCGACAAGGCGAGCACACGAAGCTCATTCAAGCGTACAGGGAACCAGTGATTCAGGCGTCTTCGGACCTTGTTGGAGGTACTGTTGTGGCCCTTCTGGGCTGTCTTGGAGGCATCTTGGGCAGTCTTGGAGCAATATTTGGCCGCCTTGGAGCCTTCTTGGGCCGTCTTCGCGGCATCATGGGCCATCTTTGTGTCCTTGGTTGCCTGCACGGGCCGTCCTGGAAGCTCGGAAAGAGTGCGTTCTGTGGGCGCTTGGAGCGGGGGGGGGTTGGAACAGGACCCCCCACCAGGAATGGAGGGAGGGACCCCCCCGCCTTCTCCCGTGACGTAGGGGGGGGTTCGAACCCTCCCCCCCACCCGCTCCTCCCTCCTCACCTCCTACTCCCCTCCTACTCCTCTCTCCCTCTCTTCAGACTGGCGCCGGCGGCGGCGGCGGCTGGCGGCGGCGGCGGAGAGCGTTGAAAGGGCATTAGGGGCGCTTGCGTCGAAAGGTGTTTGTCTCATGGCCTTCGGGCCTTCCCGCCACCGTGCCGCGGTTTTGGGTCAGAGTCCTAATGGATGCTTATTGGGGTCTCGTCGGAGGGCTCTCGGGGGCCTCTGAGGGGCAGTTGTGAAGCCTCCTGGGCCTCTCTGAGGTGGTGGTGGTGGTGGTGGGCTGTGGTGGTGTTGTTGGTGGTGGCGGCAATGGTGGAGGTGGTGGTGGTGTGGTGGTTGGTGGTGATGGTGGTGGTTGTGGTGGTGATGATGGTGGCGGCGGTGGTGGTGATGTGGTGGTGGTGTTGGTGATGGTGATAGTTGTGGTGGTGGGTTGTGGTGGTGGTGTTGGTGGGGGTGGTGGTGTGGTAGTTTGTCGTGGTGGTTGCGGTGGTGGTAGTGGTTGTGGCGCGAGATGGGTTGTGGTGGAGGTCGTGGCGGTGGTGGTGGTTGTGATGGTGGTGGTGGTGTGGTGTTTTTCATTGGTGGTGGTTGTGGTGGTGGGTGGTGGTGGTTTGTGGTGGTTATGGTGGTGGTGGTGGCGTGGTGGTTTTTGGTGGTGGGTTGTGGTGGTGGGTTGTGGTGGTGGTGGTGGTTGTGGTGTTGTGGTTTGTTGTGGTGATGGTGGCGGTGGTGGTGGTGGTGGCAGGTTGTGGTGGTGGTGGAGGAGGTGGTTGTGTGTTGTCGTGGTGGTGGTGGTGTGGGTGGTTGTGTGGTGGTTTGTGGTTGTTGTGGTGGTGTGGTGGTTTGTGGTGGCGGTGGTTTGTGTTGGTGATAGTGGTGGTGGTGGTGGTGGTTGTGGCGGCGGTGGTGGCGGTGTGGTGGATTGGGGTGGTGGTGGTGGTGGTGTTGTTGTGGTGGTGGTTGTGTGGTGGTTTGTGTGTGGCGGTGGTGGGTGGTGGTTGTGGTGGTACTGGTAGTGGTGGTAGTGGTGGTGGTGGCGGCGTGGTGGTTTGTGGTGGTGCTGGTGCTGGTGCTGGTGCTGGTGCTGGTGCTGGTGCTGGTGCTGGTGGTGGGTGCGTGGTGTTGGTGGTGGTGGTGGTGGTAGCGGTGGTGGTGTTGGTGGTGGTTGTGGTGTGATGGTTTGTGGTGGAGGTGGTGGTGGGTTGTGGTGGTGGTTATGGTGGTGGTGGTGGTTTGGTGGTTTATGGTGGTGGTTGTGGTGGTTGTGGTGGTTGTGGTGGGTTGTGATGGCGGTGGTGGTGGTGGCGGTTGTGGTGTAGTGGTTTGTGATGGTGGTGGTGATTGTGGCGGTGGTGGGTTGTGGTGGTTGTGGTTGTGGTGGTGGTTGCGGGCTGCTCGGGGGGCCTGCTGAGGCCGGCTGGGATTCACTATCAGGGAGCTTGTTGAGGTTGAATGCAGCTGGGGCTACTTTGGGGGCTGTCGTGTGGGCAGCCCGAAGCCTCACCATGTCTGGCCCTACTCCGAGTCTCAACCCTTCTTCACCCCTCTGCCTCTCTTCTCCCCCGCCCCCCAGCGACGCGGATGTCGGGATTGCCAGCTCCCGTGTGTGAGCGGGTTCTGGGCCCGCGGCCGTTGGGGAGGAGGAGGAAGAGAAGGAGGAGGAGGGAAGGCGGAGGGAGGAAGGGAAGGAGGAGGAGGGAGGGAGGAGGGAAGGAGGAGGGAGGAGGGAAGGAGGAGGGAGGAGGGAGGGAGGAGGAGGGAGGAGGGAGGAAGGGAAGGAGGAGGGAGGAGGGAAGGAGGAGGAGGGACGGAGGAGGGAGGAAGGGCGGTAAGAGGAGAAAGGAGGGTGAGGAGGCGAGATAAGCAAGAGGAAACGTCAAGCGATCTGGTTTTCACGGCGCCTTAACCCAATTGATAGAACCAGGGACTTGGTGTACCATTATCGAAGAAGCTTACGGCGAATCACCGCCGCCCCCTGCCCTTGTGGAAGCGCTAGTGTGGCCGACAGCTGGGCTAGAGCTTGGCCAAGATATCGAGCCAGTTGTTCCCCGAGTCAGTTTGGAAAGCCTTCGGGGAACGCGTGGAAAAGCAAGAGGTTTGAAATCGCCCATGTGTCCGAGCGTTGTGGCAAGAGCTCTGCCTAGCTATCGGGCCATGAGTTCCCCCAACCGTTGTGGAAACCCTTCGGGGAACACTTGGGGAGGATGGCGGGGAAGATCAGGATGAGGAGGAGGAGAAGGAAGAGGAGGAGGAGGAGGAGGAGGAGCAGAAGGAGAAGAGGAGGAGGAGAGGAAACAGAAGGAGGAAGACCATGTTGGAATACACCCTCCCTCCAAGCTCCCTCTTCCTGGGCCCCTACAACGGTTCATTCCCACTCAGGGAATTGCCTCGTTTGAAGACAACCGTGTGAAGACCCTGAAGCATGCCGAAACATTGTTCCCGGGATACCAACGCTACGGATCAACCTGACTTTCGCGTTTTGGCGATCTCGAACCGTGCCATAACACCATACCTGGGACTTCAACACCGCGAATCAGCGTAACTGTTAAACCCTCATAATCCTGAATCCTTCCAAAACGCAATGTTTGGTACGCTGGTCATGCGAATCCGTGAAGCTCAACAAAAAAACGAAATACGTGGCCATAAGGCGAGAGCCACATTTTGAAAAGGAACCGCCCTCGATCCGTGAAACCCTTGCAACTTGTTAAAACGAATGTGCGCGGCGCTGAGGCGAGAGCCACATGTTGAAAACCACCTGCCCTGAATCCGTGAAACCTTTACAACTGTTTGAAAGGAATGTGCGCGGCGCTAAGGCGAGAGCCACATTCCCTCCATATGTGAAACTGTTGTCAATGTTGAAGTCCCAGTGTCGTAAATGGTGCGGAAGCGTCAGGCGAAACGCCCAGCCCGCCCTAAAAAGTGGCCTCGGGGTGTGACCGGGAGAAGGTTTTTATAAGGACAAGGTGTGGAGGAGGAGTGGGAGGAGGAGGAGGAGAAGGAGGAGGAGGAGGAGGGGGCATCTTGGGAGCCTCTCGGGGCACTCTTGACACCTCCTGGGAGCTTCCTGGGAGTCTCTTGGAGGCATCTTGGGGGCCTCATTGGACCTGATGGGGGCCTTGGGGGTCTTCTCGGTGGCCTCTCTTTGGCCGTCGCAGTGCATTCCTGGCCCGTCCGACGCCGTCGGAAAGAAGCCGTCTTGGGGGCGTCTCTGGGCCGACTCGAAACCCTCGTGAAGGACTCTTTGGGCCGACTGGAAACCCTCTTGGGGTGCTCCAGGGCCGTCTTGGAGGCCATCTTGGGCGTCTTGGAGGCCTCCTGGGCCGTCTGGGGGCCCTCTTGGGTCGTCTTGGGAGCCTCCTGGGCCGTTCTGGGGCCGTGCTGGAGGGGCCGAGGGCTTGAAATGTCCGCTCGGGTTTCCCATCTGGACCCCATGTTGGGGCCGTGTTTGGGCCCTCTTGGGCCGTCTTGAGCGCATTTTGGGCCGTCTTGGGGCTCTGTTGGGCCGTTTTGGTGCACTCTTAGGGGGGCTCCGGGGCCGTCTTGGGGCGATATTTGGGGCCTCGTGGGCCGTCTTGGAGCATCGGGAAACCGAAAGGCGCGAACGCTGAAATCCTTCAAACACCTCGGGCAAATCCATGATTTTTGCCTCCTGGGGCCCTTGTGGGGGCGCCGTTGCACGCCTCTGGGGGCCGTCTCGGAGTTGTCTTGGGCCGTCTCGAGGCTGTTGACAGGGTATTTGAATTATGTGTTTCGGCAAGTCGGGGCTCTCTTGGACCGTTGTCGGCGGGCGCAGCGTCCAGAGGACTTGCAGGAAGCACCTCAGAACTCATGGGATTGAGCCCGGGAGACCCCGGGGACGCCCCAGGACGGACTGGGAAACGGATGGTGCGTGCGGGTCCTTAAAAGATTTGTGATTCTGGTTGCAGCAGCAGCACAGCCTCGACCTCTCAGTGTTGCAAGAGTCTTGGGGCACTCCACTTCGTGCCAGAGGCACGGTGGCGGATCTACTGGAATTCGGTCCCTTCCGCCACCGTGCCTGGATTGTGGATCTGACGCTTGTTGGGTGCCCGTTGAGATCTCGTGGGGGGCCTCTTCGGGAGCCTCTTGGAGGCAGTTTTGAAGCCTCCAAGAGGCCGTTTGGGGTCCGCTCGAGGGCCTCTTGAGGGCCTCTTGGTGCCTCTTGGGCTCCGAGGCCTCTTGAGGCTCTTGGACGCCTCGTGGGAGGTCGCCGTGCTCCTTCCGCGGGAGGTCGGGGCAGAAGGCGGAGGAGGAGGAGGAGGAGGAGGAGGAGGAGGAGGAGGAGGAGGAAGAGGAGAACGAGGAGAACGAGGAGAAGGAGAACGAGGAGAGGAGGAGAAGGAGGAGGAGGAGGAGGAGAGCAAGGGGAAGGAGGAGGAGGAGGAGGAGGAGGAGGAGGAGAGGAGGGGGAGGAGGAGGATGAGGAGGAGGAGGAGGGGAGGAGGAGGGAGGAGGAGGGAGGAGGAGGAGGAGCAGGAGGAGGAGGGGAAGGGGGAGGGGGAGGGAGGGAGGGAGGGGGAGGGGGAGGGGGGGGGAGGAAGGAGGGGGCCTCCTGGGGGCATCCTCCTCTTCCTCCTCCTCCTCCTCCTCCTCCTCCTCCTCCTGCTCCTCCTCCTCCTCCCGAGGACACGCCGACTCCTTTCTTTTTCTAGGCGTTCCCGACATGTCGGCCGAGGCTTCTGTGTCGCTCGGGGTGACGGGGACGTTCAGCGTGGTCTAGTCCATCGCAGCCTACCTGGAAAGTTCAGAGGCTCTCTTCGCTCCCATGTCGTCGTAAAGTGCTGAAGGGACGAGGCAAAGGAACTGAGGACACGCCCGCTCCGTGCCCAGCGGTACAGTGGCGGATGGTGTGCTGTTCGAGGACAGGGACCAGGCAGCGATGGAGCAGAACAATGGGATTGTCGGAGGGCTCCGTAGAAACCTCTTTGGCCACGTCCAAGCACCATGTCCTGCATTGAGTGCGACGGTTCATGCACCTCGGACCCGATGGGGCAGTGCACCCACGGTGGAATCATTCCAGAGACCCTTTCAGGCTCAAGCCGGACCGTAGGATACACTCAGGGCATTCCCATACAGTTTTCTCGCTTCCTGGGCCCCTCGTGGTCAGAGGCCTCGGCGAACAGCTAAGGGGAGCAACGCGAGAGTAGCAGCAAAATCGTTTCGACCCCTGGCCCCACCCAGTAAGAGTTAGTTCTTCAGTGGGCACGATGGACTGCACCGCGTGAACGAATACGGCCAGCTGTGCACAGTTTACCTGCCTTCCTGCCTCACGTATCGTGCCGCCCACTCCCAGGCCCACCACCGGGCTCGCTTCACGTCGGTATAGAAGCTTACCCGCAAGCGAAGGGTGAGCAAAACCCTCGTCGCTGTGCGTATGCACGAGGAGCAGGCCACTGCTTGTCCATCGACGCGGATGGGCGTCCAGGCCAACCGGCCGCCCCTTTTGACACAAGATCGATGGTTGCCTCGCCCACAGCGGCGGTGGCCGTTCCACGGCGGCCTTGCGGGCCAAAGCTATCGATGCCCAGGAACACGTTCTTTGTTGCGAGGACGGGATGACCATGTCTGTCCACCAGGCATGGGCATCTTCGCTTATTATTCAACCACGCCGAGAAGGGGGGGGGAGAGGGGGAGGTTCTTAGAAACACCCCTGCTTCTTAGAAGGCGCGGGCCTTATCTGTATACGTAAGGCCAGCGCCTTCTAAGAAGCAGCCTCCTTCTAAGAAGCCCTCCCCCCTCCCTCGATCCCCTTTGGTGCGCGCCGCCAAATCGTGCAGCCCCGAACGCAGCGGACGTCCATGCCTCTCCATCCCGACGGAGAGGGGCGTCCAGGCCAGCACGATCCCTGCTGACCACCATCAGCGGTGGCGCGCCCACGGCGGCAATACGGTCGTCTCATGGCGACTGGGACGGGCCAGGCGTGTCAGATGCCCAGCAACACCTTCATTTCGAGGGCAGGATGCCCACGTCATTCCATCGACAAGAATGGGCGTCCCACTGTAGGCCAGAGGGAAGAGGTCCAGATCCGAACGCCTATCTGTCGTCAGGGGTTTTTTGCGCGTGCTCGTTTAGCGGACGAAATGACATTCGCAAACATCGTTTCAAATTCCGTCATACGATAGGAGGAGGAGGAGGAGGAGGAGGATGAGGAGGAGGAGGAGAAGGAGGACGAGGAGGACGAGAAGGAGGAGGAGGAGGAGGAAGAGGAGAAGGAGGACGAGATACGAAAGGGGGAAGGAGGAATGGGGCAAGAGCAAACAACAGGGAGGAGGAGGGCGGCAGTCGCCGCAGGAGCTGCAGGCATACCTCGTCGACAACAGCGCGCTGAACGCCAGCACCCGGGGGCTCAGCTATAGGCGTAGCAAAGACATGAAGGACGCGGACGGGGAGAGATTCGCCGAGTGGAACAGCATCGTGAACGGCGTCGACGATGGCGACGGCTGGGTCCGGGTCGGCGACCGCTTCCTGCCGCTGCAGATCGGGGGCGCCGCCGTGCTGAGGCCGCTCGAGCCGCAGCAGGCTGCGCGTCTGAGGTCGAGGAGCAAAAGCAGCGCAACCGCGAACTTCGGAGCTCCGCGCGAACCTTTTGCATCGGCATGTTGGGGCCGCCCTCCCTGGCGCGCGGAGGCTGCGCCAAAGGCACCGCCAGAGGCGCCGCCAGGGGGGGCCCCGGCGCCGATGCGAGAGGTCCGCGCAGACCGCCGAGCGTCGACGGTTACAGTGGCGACCTATGCCAAAAACACCCTGCCCGCCTCCAGGGTGCCCTCGGTTTCTTGGGCTTCGATGGTCTCGCGACGGAGAGCGCGACGTGCCCACACCAAGACCACATGGACGCCCTGGGGTCTCGGGGTTGGGTCTCTTGAGGCAGGCTTCTTGTGGTCGGGCCTCCACTGTGTGCTGCTCTGTCCCTCGATGGAGGGGCTCCCTGTCGGCGCCTGCCGTGGCCGCCGCGCGGGAGCGGAGCAAGCCCCACCCTGCGCTGGTGGACGCCGAGCTGCAGCGCCTCCGGCGGGTGTCGGCCGACCAGGCGTCGCAGCGTGCGGAGCAGCCCGCGCCGGTGACGGGGGAGCGGTGCGGCCGGGGAGGAGAATCCACCCTTGCGCCTCGCCTCCGAGGCGGGGATCTACACAGAGCCACCGTGCGGAGGATCGATTCTCGGAGGCCTCGGCAGGCGGGGGGGGGGGGAGCGGTGCTCCGGGGAGGAAGATCTACCGGTGCCTCGCCTCCGAGGCGGGGGTTCAGATTGAGAAGGAAGAGGCGCCATGAACAGAAACTTTTTTTTTGCGCTCCGCGCGGGTTTCTTGGATCCACGCTGGGGCCCCCCTGGTGGCGCCTTCGGCGCCGCCCCTGGCGCGCTCCGCGCGCGAGGGAGGGGGCTCAGCGCAGATCCAAGAAATCCGTTCAGAGCGCCGAACGTTTAATATACATATATATATATATGTGTTGTTTTTCCTGTTGTATTATACATATCCTCCGTCTGAAGGATCGATATCGCAGACCTCGGGAGGCAGTGGATGTGGATATAGATTCGGGTCCTTTGGGGCCCAGGTATATCCGCATCCATCGCCCGATGGGGTCCCAGAACGTCGGGTCCACAGGCGGTGGACATGGATAGATCCCCGCCTCGCATCGTTGTCGCCGGCGCCGTCGCCGCCGCCGTCGCCGTCGCCGCCGCCGTCGCCGTCGTCGTCGTCGTTGTCGTCCCCCGTCAGGATCGGTGGCACCGGCCGCAAGGCCTTCGCAAGATTTAGATACTGCTACCCCTCGCCTCGTCGTGCCCGCGCCGGTGACGGGGTAGCGGTGCTCAGGGAAGGGAGCGGTGCTCAGGGAAGATCCTTTTCGGGCAAGATGTATATGTATGCCTCTTGCATCTTGAAGTTACGGCCTCTCTTCCCCAGACACCCGAGGCGCAGTGGTTATGGAGAGGAATCTGGTTCCCAGAGGCCAGATCGTCAGCGCATATTGAGACATTGGCGTTATCGAAGACGCCTACGGCGAATCACCGCCGCCCCCTGCCCCTTCGGAAGCGCCTCTGTGGCCGACAGTTGGGCTAGAGCTTGGCCAAGCTATCGGGCCAGTTGTTCCCCGAGTCGGTTTGGAAAGCCTTCGGGGAACGCGTGGGGGAGCGGTAGGAGGAAGATCAGGAGAGGGAGAAGGATGATGGTTAGGAGGAGGAGGAGGATGAGGATGTGAATGATGATAAGGATGATGGGGAAGGAGGAGGAGTAGGAGGGGGAGGAGACATCTTGGGAACTGTCTTGCGAGGCCTCTTGGGAGGCCTCTGCGGAGCTTCCTGGGAGCATTTTGGAGGCCTCGTGGGAGCCTCCCTGGGCCTCTTGGGGGCTTCTTGGGGGCCTTTGGGGGCTTCTTGGGGGCCTCTCTGGCCGTCTTAGGGCGTTCCCGACCCATCTGACACCGTCGGAAGCCGTCTTGGGGGCCTCTCTGAACGGATTTTGGGCTGTCTTGGGGCGCTTCAGGGCCGTCTTGGAGAGTATCTTGGACGTCTTGGAAATCGCCGTCTTGGGGGCCTCTTGGGCCGTCATGAGGCCATCTTGGAGGCCTCTGCCAACATCCTTCAAAAACCTTAGGACATCAATTAACTTGATCTCCTCGAGTCCTCCTGGAGGACCTCTTGGAGGCCTCTTGGGCCGTCTTGGAGGCCTGTTGGGAGCCTCTTGGGTCGCCTTGGGCCATCTTGAGACGATCTTAGACCGTTTTGGGTGCATCTTGGGCCGTCTCGGAGGCATCTTGGGGCCATCTTAGCCGTCTTGGAGGCCATCTTGGCCGTCTTGGAGGCCTCTAGGGGCCCTCTTGGGGCCGTCTTGGGGGCCTCTTGAGCCGTCATGGGGCCATCTTGGAGGCCTCGTGGGCGATCTGGAGGCGATCTTGGGTGCCTCTTGGGCCGTCTTGAGCCGTCGGAATGCCGAAAAACAGCAAATGCCCAAATCTTGTAAAACCGGAAGGGAAATCAATGAACCTGATCTCCTCGAGTCCTCCTGGAGGACCTCTTGGAGGCCTCTTGGGCCGTCTTGGAGGCCTGTTGGGGGACTCTTGGGTCGTCTTGGGCCATCTTGAGACGATCTCAGGCCGTCTTGGGTGCATCTTGGGCCGTCTTGGAGGCATCTGCCGTCTTGGAGGTCCTTGGGGCCGTCTTGGGAGCCTTTTGGGCCGTCATGGGGCCATCTTGGAGGCCTCGTGGGCGATCTTGGAGCGATCGTGGGGGCCTCTGAGGCCGTCTTGAGCCGTCGGAATGCCGAAAAGAAGGAAATGCCAAAATCATTAAAAACCCGAAGGAATATCAATGATTCCGGCCTCTTCGTGCCCTCCTGGAGGATCTCTTGGAGGCCTCTTGGACCGTCGTGGAGGCTTCTTGGGCGTACTTGAAGGTATCTTGGGCTCTCTTGGGCTGTCTTGGAAGTAATCTTCGGCCATCTTAGGCGAACTTGAGGGCCATTTCGGGCCATCTGAGCCGTCTTGGAGGCTATCTTGGGCCCTCTTGAAGCGGGACAGGCATTGACATGTGCACTTTCCGGTCCTTTCCGGAAACCGGCGGGCTGGGCCGAAGCGCCAGGGGGGGTTCATTTGGAAAAGACCGAAAGGGTTCAGCACACCATGCACCCCTGTGATGAATCAACCGGGGGCGGCGGATCGAAGACGCCTACGGCGAATCACCGCCGCCCCCTGCCCCTTTGGAAGCGCCTCTGTGGCCGACAGTTGGGCTAGAGCTTGGCCAAGCTATCGGGCCAGTTGTTCCCCGAGTCGGTTTGGAAAGCCTTCGGGGAACGCGTGGGGGAGCAGGAAAAGGAGGAGGGGGAGGATGAATAGAAAAGATGAGGATGAGGCCTCTTGGGCGCCACTTGGGGCACTCTTGGGGCCTCCTGGTAGCTGCCGGGGGGCCTCTTGGAGGGTTTTTGGTGGCCTTTGGGGGCCTTCTTGGGGGCCTCCTTGGCCATCTTAGGGCGTTCTGGCTCGTCTCACGCCGTCGGAAGCCGTCTTGGGGGGCCGGTCTGCATCGTCTTGGGGCCCTCTTGGGGCAAATCAGGGGTACTCTTGGCATCGCTCGGACGTGTGCATTTTTCTTTCGGCCAGGGCCATCGAGGAGCATCCTTGATCATTTGGCGAAAAAACCGCGCACGAAACCGGAAAAACAGAGGGAATGGACGTCCCAGCGATGGCGAGTTCTCAGAGGCCATCTTGGGCGTCTTGGAGGCCTCTTCGGCCGTTTCGGGGCCCCGGCCGTCGTGGAGCCCTCTTGGGGGCCTCGTGGGCGATCTTGGGAGCTTACATCAGGAGGGGAAAAAACACACAGACACAATTAATCGTCGATTCCCCAGAAAATATTGGAAAATATGGGAAGTGGGGGGGAAGACGAAAACCCAGAAAATATGTGAAAATATGGGGCACATGTTTATTTGTGTGTATTTATTTGTGTGTCCCAGGGCCCCTTCATTACAGTCGGGGCCCTGAAGAGGGAACCCGTTTCGTTGGGGAGGGGCTCGGGTGTTCCTTGATTGATTCACAGTTTGCCTCAGGTTTTCCTTAGGTTTTCGATGGGAAATCGACGTTTGGCTTGTGGAAACAAGGGGCCTCGTTCCTCATTCAGGGTTCCTTGGGTCAACGCCCCGACTGCATTGCGCCGTCTCGAGCCGTCGGATTCCCGAGAAGAAGCAAGTGCCAGAATCTGTCAACAACCTCCGGGAAATCAGTGATGATGGCCTCGTCGAGCCCTCCTGGAGGACCTCCTGGGCGCCTTGGGGGCGTCTTAAAGGCCTCCTGGGAGCCTCTTGGGCCGTCTTGGGCTATCTTGAGGCCATCTTAGGCTGTCTTGGGTGCATCTTGGGCCGTCTTGGAGGCATCTTGGGGCCATCTTAGCCGTCTTGGAGGCCATTTTGGCAGTCTTGGAGGCTCCTTGGGCCCTCTTGGGGCGGTCTTGGAGGCCTCTTCGGCCGTGGTGGGGCCATCTTGGAGGCCTTGTTGGGCCGTCTGGAGCCGTCGGAATGCCCAAAAGAAGGAAATGCCAAAATCCTTCAATAAACCAATGGAAAATCAACGATGTTGCCCTCTTCGGGCCCTCCTGCAGGACCTCTTGGAGGCCTCTTGGGCCGTCTTGGAGGCCTGTTGGGGGCCTCTTGGGTCGCCTTGGGCCATCTTGAGACGATCTTAGACCGTCTTGGGTGCATCTTGGGCCGTGTTGGAGGCATCTTGGGGCCATCTTAGCCGTCTTGGAGACCATCTTGGGCGTCTTGGAGGCCTCGTGGGCCGTCTTGGGGCCCTCTTGGGGCCGTCCTTGGGGGCCTGTTGGGCCGTCATGGGGCCATCTTGCCGTCTTGAGCCGTCGGAAGGCCGAAAAGAAGCAAATGCCAAAATCTTTCAATAAACCTATGGAAAATCAATGATTTTGGTTGGCCTCTTCGGGCCCCCCTGGAAAAACTCTTGGAGGCCTCTTGGGCCGTCTTGGAGGCTTCTTGGGCGAACTTGGAGGTATCTTGGACCCTCTTGGCCCGTCTGGGAGGCCATCATGGACCATGTTGGGCGAACTTCATCATCTTGGCCGTCTCGGAGACATCTTGGAGGCCATCTTAGGCCGGCAGGGCGATTTTGAAAACCATCTTGAGCCGCCTTGGGAGAGTTTTTGGGAGAATTCCATGCCTTTCGGGTGGCCGGCGGGACGGGCCGAAGCCCCAGGGGGAGTTCTTTTGGAAAAGAACAAAAACCAAAACCGAAGTAATTTAGCACGCCGGGCACCCCTGTGGCAAGCCAACAGGGGGCGACGGATCGAAGACGCCTACGGCGAATCACCGCCGCCCCATGCTTTTTTGGAAGCGTCTATGTGGCCGAACGTTGAGGCCAGACCTGCGAAGCTATCGGACCATGTGTTCCCCGAATCGGTTTGGAAAGCCTTCGGGGAACACGTGGGCATCTTGAAGGTTATCTTGGCCGTCTGGAGGCCATGTTGACCCTTTCGGGCCTTCTTGGAGGACGTCTTGGAGGGCATCTTGAGCGTCTTGGAGGCCTCTTGGGCCGTCTTGGGGGCCTCTTGGGGCCGTGTCTTGGGCCTCTTGGGCGATCTT